TTACTTAAGTAGAATAAATAGTGCATACTTTTTACTTTACTTCGTTACATTTTGCAGCAATTTTTCTACTTTCTACTCCACTACATTTCTACAACTTCTGTTATATTTTCATTACATTTTCTGATCATCTGACGTAATCTGACCGTCCGTTCGTTGCACGTTTGTCTCACCAGTGACGTTTGGTTGCCATAGACACATCAACTAAATGCGTCTCGCACGCAGTGTGTTTATCGTGCAATTTATACGCGAAAATTTGTTTTTATGTGCATAGGAAATGCACCGTGTGTAATATACGTTTGGTTAGGATTATGGCAAGCCAAGAGGTTCAAAATTACACCATAAATGAATCGTGTTTACTGCCAAACATAGTTATTAACATATAGTAAGGATAAGCATGATGTGCAGCTATATTGCCTAATTGCAAGCTTGTTTCAAAAATGATGACACCATTTTTTTTCCATCATTATTGAACATCATTATAGGAGTATTAGGTGGAACGAGTTAGAATTAAATATTTTATTAATCATTAGAAAAAAATAGACATTAAGAGAATAAATTGTTATGCAAGTACTTTTACTTTTAATACTTAAAGTACATTTAAAATCAGGTACTTTTTACTTTTTACTTAAGTATGGTTGCCATTGTGTTACTTCTACTTTTACTAAAGTAAATATTTATCTGTTTATTTGTACTTTTACTTAAGTACTGAGATTCAGTACTTCCTCCACCACTGGGTCTCATTCTGATGATTCATTCTGAAAAATGCTCGTCCATTTATTGAAGAATCTGCTGGAAAGCTCAAAAAATCAAATTCAGGCTAAAAAGAACAAGCAATGAGTCACTGTGTAATTCAGTGAGGAAAACAACACACACATTGACTCAAAACACACTCTTGAGGTTTTCTGAGGTCGTCCATCAGGATTGTACCTGATTTTAGGGGTTTTAGATGAGACATTGAGGACAGCTGGGGTCACCGTATGAACACACACACACACACAGACTACCTGTCATCTATATTCACTCACTCATGCTGCCCGTCGCTCAGGAACAATGACAGAGATCAGCACTGGAATGATTAACAAACATATCCGAGGGCCGACTGGCCGACAGACGTGATCGAGTGCTGACGAAAGCGCTCGTGATAAAGACGGAAAAAAGTACAAATGCAAAGAAGAAAGAGTAGATGAAAAGCACTGGAGGCAAAAGACTTTTCAAGTGTCATGAAACCAGCACAGTTGAGAGGGAGACTAGAAATAATCATTATCCGTCCATTTTCCATTTCTCAATGCAGATTTCATTTTGATACAGCCAATATTAAAGTCAGCATGAAATCAAAACTAATCATTCTTATTTTTTTTTTTAAAAAGGGGACCTATTATTTCCCATTTCAACCAGATGCAACACAAGAGTGTGTATGTGAAGTTTTACCTCAAAATACCCCACAGATCATTTTTACAGCATGTTAACCCTCTAGACGCCATAGTGGAGTTTACTGGACAAAATAAAACGGTTTTGTCAAATTGGGTGTCAAATTTCGTTTGGCCTCCCCTCCACTGGACGGCAGACGTGTCATACTTCATCCCCGACTCAAAAAAAGTCATGCTTTTTTACAAAATCTACAAAATGCGATCAAATCGAGGCGACGGTGGAGTCAATGGTAATTGTTAATGTTAAGTCAATGCAAAGGCACATTACGCGCGTAAAAATGAGGCCTGCAGTGTGAATGAGGCGTAGAGTGCGGCGCGGTAGACGCGAATTGAGCGTCTGGCGCGTTAAGCACGTTAGGCGTGAATGATTTAGTTCGTGCTATTTGTGCATTCACGCATTTGACGTGAATTTGCGCCTGCCGCCCGAGTTGAAAAATCTGAACTTTGGCATCAATTTGCGCCGCGTTAACCAATCAGGAGCCTGCTGCTTGCTGCCGTCACATGGTGAAGGATCTGGATGCTTCAATAAGTTATTTTGTAACATGACTAAATACCTGGTGTGGTTCTAATGCACAACAAAGCAAATATTTTATCACTTAAAACATGCATTCGACCATTTATTAGTAATGATTTACACAGTTTGTTTACTACTTACTATACACCATTCAGTATTGAACAGTTTAAGGTGATGGACATTTTGGAGGGAAAGAAGTTGTGCATTTTCCGTTTAAACGTGAATTTGCATGAAAATTCTATAATCCAAGATTTCCGCCACCATATGATGTCATAATATGCTAATTAGATGGGAATCCCTACATAAACTTTGGGTCATTCTTAATATTTCTCTAATTTACAGAAAGTCTCTATCTTTGATCACTTTTAAGATATAGCCTTTTGAAATCAAGATGTCAAAATCAAAAGCTCTGGCGCCTAAAGGGTTAAAATCGCCACTTTTTGCAAAAACACGTCATTTTTGTGTGTCCCTTTAAATGCAAATGAGCTGTTGCTGCTCTCCACCCCCTTTCAAGAAGTGGGCGGAGCTTCAAGAGTTCATACCCATAGAAATGTGAATAAAGGCTAGATGTGTCGTCCGCGCTGCTGGCCAATGGAGGTCGACGTCAGCACCTGGCGGCCATCTTGGCACAGGCAGCTCGCTCATTGGCAACATTGTTTTAATGGTGCATGTACTTTTTAAATAACCATAACTTGCTCAATTTTCTACCGATTTTCAAACGGTTTGGGTTGTTATAAACGGCAGAGATGTAGTTATGATACTGCATACTTATAAATAATAAGTGTATAAATAAATAATCATCCAGAATTATAGCCACGTTAATAACGTTTGTAAGAAACCAAGCCGTCAAGATTTCAACGAGACAAGAGTATTTCTTAAATCAAATACCACAGAGCCCGCCAGAAAGCCTGTCTGTGACAAGATGGCCGCCGGTGATGACGATGGAAACTCCGCCGTAACACATCTAGCCTTTATATATATATATATATATATATATATATATATATATCTATGTTCATACCGGCAACAAAACAGGGCAATCTCACGCACTGAAAATGTCCAAAACTGTCAGTAATGGTGTTCAGTACGACATCAGGAGACTGAGAATATATGCTGTATATATTACAACAGGTATAGTTTAGTTTAATCAAGCCTTTTGTAGCGGACCCGACGGACAAAACTTTACTGATGAGTTTTATGATGTTTACATCACACAAAAGATGAAGTGTGTTTTCACGAGGTGAATAAACACAGTATAAGTCGTCTTATCCATAAACTCCCTTTCATTATCATCAGCATACACAAAACTAACGGTCAACAAATATATACACACCTCATGCCTTTTCAGGGGTGCTTAACAAGCTGGTAAACTTGATATCCGTAAAACAACTCAGATGAACTGTAATAAAGCGCATGCTCTGCCTTTCATTAGTCAGCATTCTCAATAGCAATCATACATTATCAAATATTTCATGTTAATTGTTGCGGCGAGGAAACGCCTGTATCTGTGCGGCGTGCGACGGAACATAAGCGGCTCGTGTTTCAGTGCGGTGTCAAATCCCGGTTTGAAGCGCCTCTCAGAGGAAAAGGTCACATGCAGATGTGAATAATTATAAGACAGTGCCTTCTCATAGGATTAGGCCACAGAGGCTCATGAATAATTGTGTTGACTTCAAACCCAGCACACAAAAAACCTTAATAAACTCATTCCTCTTGAAATAAATAACGACGGATTGTACCGTTATCTTCAATAATTAAAAAGAGACATGACTTATGATTCGGCAAACACTTTACAATAAGGTTCATTAGTTAACGTGAACTACTTCTTCAGCATTTATTAAACTTAGTGAATATTGATTTCAACATTTACTAATACGTTATTAAAATCAAAGGTTGTGTTAGTTAACATTAGTTAATCTGTGAACTAACAATGAACAGCTGGATTTTTATTGACAACTTTTTTGGGATTTTTATTTTTTATAGTACATGTTAGTTAATACATTAACTAATGATCCTTATTGTAAAGTGTCACTAAATGATTCTTAATTGCTTTACACGTGGACTTGAATAATGCAGGGATTGAAGAGACGTGGTCAGGAGAGGAAAAGACCAATATTAAAAGAGTAGTTCACTTTTAAAATAAACTTTTGCTGATAATTTACTCACCCCCATGTCATCCAAGATGTCCACGTCTTTCTTTCCTCAGTCGAAAAGAAATTAAGGTTTTTGATGAAAACATTGCAGCATTTTTCTCCATATAATGGACTTCAATGGGGTCCAAACGGTTTACGGTACAAATGAGAGTTTGACTCTCCAGTCCGAACTCGTTCATCAAAACGAACGAATCTTTTTTCGAGTCATTTGATTTATTCAACAAACGAACTGAACCAAATTACTCGAAAAAAAGATTTGTTCATTTTGATGAACTGGAGAGTCCAGGATCAGAGACCAGGATTTTCTCCATATAATGGACTTCAATGGGGTCCAAACGGTTCAAGGTCCAAATAAGAGATTTAGTGCAGCTTCAAAGGGCTTTAAACGACACCAGACGATGAATAAGAGTCTTATCAAGTGAAACAAGCGGTCGTTTCAAAAATAAATAAAAAACTGTGTTCTGTGATGCGCGTTCGTGACTCTCCAGTTCAAACTCGTTCATCAAAATGAACAAATCTTTTTTCGAGTAATTTGGTTCATTTCGTTTGTTGAATGAATCAAATGACTCGAAAAAAGATTCATTCATTTTGATGAAAGAGTTCGAACTGGAGAGTCAAACTCTCATTTGGACCTTGAACCGTTTGGACCCCATTGAAGTCCATTATATGGAGAAAAATCCTGGAATGTTTTCATCAAAAAACTTAATTTCTTTTCGACTGAAGAAAGAAAGACATGGACATCTTGGATGACATGGGGGTGAGTAAATTATCAGCAAAAGTTTTTTTTTTATGGTGAACAACTCTTTTAACTAATGAATCTTATTGTAAAGTGTTACCAATGATGTTATATAGAGCGGGACACGTGGACTGTAATAATGTAGAGTAATCATGAAGGGAAAGACTCACCGGGAATGTTGTGAATGGTGATGGCCAGGATCAGAAGAACGACTCGCCGCCAGCTGCTTTCTGATTGGCTCGTCAGATCCTGCGGTTTCGCACTCACTTCCTGTTCCTCTGTATGGCCGGTGTTGGGACCCCGACGTCTCTGGTACACCTCTCCATTCTCCACTTTATCTGGTAGAGAAACAGAAACATCTTCTCAAACGTCATGTTTTGGAGAACAAACACTTTCAAGATGCAAATGACCCACTGAAAGGATCGATATAACAACAATTTATAAGTCAATGCTTATAAATGCATAAATAGGCAGTAATATTAATTTCAACATTTACTTATACGTTATTAAAATCAAAGGTTGTATTTGTTAACATTAGTTAATGCACTGTGAACCAACATGAACAGCTGGATTATTATTAACTTACATTAACAATGATTAATAAATACTGTAACAAATGTACTGCTCATTATATTAGTTAATATAAGGGCTGTGTAAAGATTAATTGTGATTAATCACATCCAAAATAAAAGTTTGTGTTTAAATAATATATGTGTGTGTGCTGTGTATAATTATTTCGTATAATAAATACATATGAATGCATGTATTTAAGAATTATTTGCACGTAAATACTGTATATATATATAAATACATAATCTATTTTATATATAAATATTTTAAATATGAATAACACATTTTCTCAAATATATACATGCATGTGAGTGTATTTATATATACAAAATAATTATACACAGCACACACACATATATTATGTAAACACAAACTTTTATTTTGGATGCGATTAATCACAATTAATCTTTGCACAGCCCTAATTAATAGTTAATGGTACAACAATAGATAATACTACAACAGGTACACCTCTCCATTTCCCACTTTATCTCAAATAGAAACAGAACAAATATCTTCCCGAACATCATTTTCTGGAGAACAAACACATTTCAAGAAAATGATCCACTGAAAGGATCAATAATATAACAACAATTAGTCAGTGTTGCAGAATCACATAAATCCGGGTTTTAAATGTGTTAACAGTGCTGTAAATCTCAGAGAATACCAAAACACAATAAAACAGCACATACAGTTTGAGGTTGATGATTAATAATTTCTATAACACTTCTATAACAAGTCAGGTTAACGGTCTTAAAGGAGTAGTTCACTTTTCAAAAAAAACTTTTGCTGATAATTTACTCACCACCATGTCATCCAAGATGTCCACGTCTTTCTTTCTTCAGTCGAAAAGAAATTAAGGTTTTTGATGAAAACATTCCAGTATTTTTCTCCATATAATGGACTTCAATGGGGTCCAAACGGTTCAAGGTCCAAAAGACAGTTTCAGTGCAGCTTCAAAGGGCTTTAAACGACACCAGACGATGAATAAGGGTCTTATCTAGCGAAACGAGTGGTCATAAAAATAAAAAAAAGTTTACATTTTATAAGCACAAATGTTTGCCTTGCTCTGTTCTGTGTGACTCTCCTGTTCGAATCTTTTTCCGAGTCAATTCATTCATTTTGTTCGTTGAATGAACCAATTGACTCGAAAAAAGATTTGTTCACAGGAGAACTCAGAGCAATTAAAAACTTAGCTTATAAAACTCAGACTTTGTTATTTATTTGTAAACTGTCTTTTGGACCTTGAACCGTTTGGTCCCCATTGAAGTCCATTATATGGAGAAAAATCCTGGAATATTTTCATCAAAAAACTTAATTTCTTTTCGACTGAAGAAAGAAACACGTGGACATCTTGGATGACATGCGGGTGAGTAAATTACCAGCAAACGTTTTTTTGAAAAGTGAACTACTTTAATGTGCAATCAAAGCAGATTCACTGTAATAAACAAGAAAAATAACAGTTGCATTAATGTTGTATTTTTTCCAATTATAAAACTAAATAAAAGTCAGCTCTACAGAAGACGACAGTGCTGTTATTCGGACAAATTTAGATTCAGATAATTTCAATAACGGTGTCAATGTTGCAAAGTTCTTCAGTTATGAAACAAACTCAGCAGATATACAGAAGACACTAAAAACAAGGACCTGTTTCTGTACCTCGTACATGAAAAATGGCAATGAATTCATCAAACCAAACACAAAGTGAAATAATATAAACTATTAACCAATCAGCTGTTCAGTCACAGATTGAAAATGACTCTTTTCAACGCATCCAATAAATCAATCACGGTCAAATAATCAGCAGGAGATTGCAACAGAACGACCGACTCTTTTAAAGCCCAGCTGAGCTTTTATCTCCTCAAGGACCCTCCAATCTCACACTGTATTTATCCTAGCTTTAATCCTTTTTTAAACGCCAATCGTCGTATAAAAAATGATATCCAGAGTGCATCTGAAACACATGCCACCAATTAGCCGTCACTTTAGAGCGAGCGTAATTATGTGTGTGTGCGCTGAGAATTAACAAATAGAGGACAATGACCCTCACTGAAACGAAATCCCTCACACTGGGTGGAAGAACACGTCGATAATATAGTTTTAATTTCTCCAACCACACATTGAAGAATATATAATGAATGCAGATTACTCAGGCTTATACCGTGGTCTGGGTGAATACTCGATTCTGATTGGCTGCAGGGTGTCCGTTAAAAAGTGATAGAGGACACCTAGTAAAGTAGTTCTGGTGAAACTGCCTGTTTACCATTCGAAATTAATAAATAAATGCGCTGCCTACAACGGCTGTGAGTAACCATAGCAACAGGCAGTCACATGCTCTATCATCTAACGTTAGATATTATAGCCTAATACACCAATGAGCGACTTCGTGCTATTTCTTTTAACATTTATGGAGAATATGGCAACTTTGACGACTGGTATGCTGCTGAAGAAAGAAAAAATGTAAATAAAACGGAGAAAATTACACCGCTGCTGCGCTGCTCCATTGAACTCTATTGGTAACGACGTAACTTGCGACCATAGTTGGATAACGATGCTTTCGGGAAACGCACCCCTAAATGAGACCCTGCGGGAGTTTTACGCAGCTGTCCAGACAACCAAGGCAGGAGAAGGCTGAACGTTACAGCGTTTCAAGCCTAAAGGAGCCTGAGGCAAATGACCCTCTCTTTGATCTGATTAATTTATTGCCCTCTATAAGCGCAAATCGCTGGAGCTCAGAGCTAATTGTTTTTTATTGTTGTTTGATTAATTGTTTTAGGTGTAATAAAAAAAAAACTATGCCTACCTTTGTGTTTCATGAAAAAAAAATGCATTTGTGAACCTGAAGGGATACGAGCTAAGCGGACTATAAATATCTCCGGTTGCTAGATAAACAGTCAGTCAAGTTATTATTTGTAAAAACTAGATTTAGCCTAATTAAAATATAAACTAATGTTTTAAAAATGTTTTATTTGGCAAGTGACCATGGTATAAGCGGGTTAATGCCCTCCGAGGTGTCCATTGTCAGGTTTTAATGGACTTCGGCGGAGGCAACCGTCCTCTGCTGCGCGTCGGCCGGTTTACGCCTCGCCGTCGTCCATTAAAACCTGACAATGGACACCTCGTCGGGCATTAACCCTTACTTAAAGGTCATGAGGAGCACATCCGTCAGGCGTGAGCCGAGCGTCTACAGTTTTTGAGTTTTTAGATGAGGGCTGATGCGAGTAGTTCACATGTGCAATGTAAAATATCAGTTCAGTTAGGAGCCCGACGGATCGCTTGTGAATAAATCATGAGTGATGGACAACATGTGAAGCCGATGCTTCATGAATGGTGTCACTGTCACACCACGGGAAACATGTTCATGGATCAACATCTGTGTTTTAATGACGGTGGATCAAACCAATCAACGGATGCGAGGGACAGGTCTACAGTTTAGGCTTACGAGTCCAGGGTTACCGGACTACAGCAGTCTTATCCTCTTATCATTTCACTCGGACTTTAAGGATATCTTATGGGTAGGGTCAGGTTTAGGGATAGGGATATGGATATGGTTAGGACTAAATTTTCAGACAGTAATGTTTTTCCAGGAACAGGAAGATTTCTGGATCTTAATGTTGATGTTACAGCTGCAAAACTGTAGTAGCTATAAAATGTGTGTTTCATGAATATTGATTCATGAAATGGGTGGATGGATGAAAAACATTATAAATGTCTATGGATGGGTGGGTGGATGGGTGGATGGATGGATGGAGGGAGGGATGGAAAAAAGGAAGGATGGATGGATGGAAAGAAAGAAAAAGGATAGATGGATGTGTTGATAGAGGGAGGGATGGATGGATAGATGGATGGATGGATGGATGATGAAAGAAAAAGGATGGAAGGATGGATGGATAGAAAGGGGTGGATGGAAAGAAAGGGATGGATGGATGGATGGAAAGAAAAGAATGATGCATGGAAAGATGGATGGATGGATGGATGGATGGATGGATAAGATGGATGGATGGATGGATAGATGGATGGATGGATGGATGGAAGAAAAGGATGGATGGATGCATTGATAGAGGGAGGAGGGGGGTGGATGGATGCATGAATGGAAAGAAAAGAATGGATGCATGGAGAGATGCATGGAGAGATGGTGGATGGATGGATGGATGGATGCATGAATGGAATGAAAATAATGGATGCATGGAAAGAAAAAGGGATGGATAGATGGATGGATAGATGGATGCATTGATAGAGGGATGGATGGAAAGAAAGGATGGATGATGGATGGAAAGAAAGAAAGGGATGGATGGATGGAAGGAAAGGGATTATGGATTGGATGGATGGATGGATGGATGGATGGATGGATGGAAGAAAGGGATGGATGGATGGAAGGAAAGGATGATGGATGGATGGATGGAAAGAAAAGGATGGATGGATGCATTGATAGAGG